ATCACCAGGGAATAAACAGGACAGGTAGGAACAGTAGAGAGAGCCTATAATCACATCGTCAGGGAATCTTAAGGCAAGAAATCTCAAGCTCCAGGTCAGTGACCACCCACCCACCTACCACTTCAATACTTCAGATTCAAGGCTGACAAAGTTCTCTAACAAGACAACTGTCACTTTATTATTCGGTTTTTAATCTTGAGACAGTCATTCTTTAGCTCAGACTGACTTTGAACTTCCTACAATCCTCCGGCCTCAGCCTCCTGAATGTTGGGATTACAGGCATATGCTACCACACGACTCCAAGTTGTCATCACAAATAGTAACAAATACCAAAGATTTTTAAAATTTCAGTTGTATCTTATACATTTAAATCAACGTTACCTAGTAATTCTGGAACTATTAATTTATCCTAAGAAATTGTGCAAAAGAATAGTGTTTATTATAATTTCATCACCAAGAAAACTGGGAACTATCATATGGTTCAACGACATCTAAGCTCAAGGGCCAGTTTACTGAAGTGTTTATATAGGCCTTCAATGTAAGAGCAGCACAGAGAAAACTATCTCTGCTATCTCTCTCTCTCTCTCTCTCTCTCTCTCTCTCTCTCTCTCTCACACACACACACACACACACACACACACACACACACACAGCTTGAGCTGTAAGTATATGGCTTAGGTGGCTAGAAGGAAGGCACATAAGATATACAAGGTATTCTTATTTATTTTCTTATTAGTACATATTTGGTAGTTAACATCTTCAAAAAAACTAGTATACAGAAAAGCATTAAGTGGAGCAAGGAAAAGTCCCTTCATTTTAATACATACCTTAATAAAATTTGCATTGATGTAGTCTGAATCTTGAGATGGAGTCTTCAAGGTCAGCTTAACTCGGCTGTGGTCAACTACAAGAGAAAAGACTTCTGTAACTTACATCCAGGCGGCAGAGCCTCACAATGCAGCTCACAGGCACGGACCGGCTTCCACCCACCAAGTGCTGGGATCACAAATGTGCCACTGCATCTACTCTAAACACGCAATGTGAAGTTCAGGTGCCAGGAGGGTAATTGTAACATTATTTTAACAAAAGTAAACTCTGAGAAAAGCAAAAAAATTACAAATAAATATATTAAAGTTGCAATCAAAATTATCCCTGGAACTTTAAAAATATAAAACATTAGACCGTGACCAAATTATCTAGGAGTGAAGCCTCAGTGTTTCTCTTTTTAATTTAAATTTTGTCTTTAAGCCCAGCACTTGGCAAGTAAAGGCAGGTGGGTATGCGTTTCCAGGCAACCTGGTCTGTAAGTCCCATCGCATACAGAGGTCACAGAATAAACTTTATGTGTATGGTGTTTTGGCTGCATGTATGTCTTTGTGCCAGGTGTGTGCAGTGCTCACAGAAGTAGGAAGACAGCTTCTGATCTCAAGGAAGTGGAGTTACAGAAGGCTGTGGTGTGAGCTGCCATGTGGGTGCTTGGGAATGGGACTCAGTCTTTTGGGAGAGTAGCCAGTGCTTTTAACGGCTGAGCCATCTCCCTAGTGAAACCTCAGAACCTTTTAATGACCAGCACTCAAGAGTTCCTTTGTCAAGGTTCTTATCAAGAAATCTACCTTTCCATATTTCACAAGAAATTTTGAAAATAATTACGACTAATGAATTAAAATACTACAGTATGACAGGATTGGACAAAAAAAATCAGACAATAATAAGGATAAAAAATGTAACCTTTCTTTTACCTTCCAATATGAGAACTCATTTTATTTTCATTTGCATTAACTGAGCTATGTAAATCCTATTTATATATATGTATGTGTATATATATAATGTATGTGTGTGTGCATATATCTATCTACATATCTCTATATACATAGAGTGTGTATGTGTGTGGGTTTTCAAGACAGGGTTTCTCTGTGTAATAGCCCTTGCTGTCCTGGAACTCTCAGAGATCCACCTGCCTCCGCCTGCCGAGTGCTGGGGTTAAAGGTGTGCACCACCACACCCAGCTAGTACTGTTTATTTACTTTTACAGGAGAAGGGCAGGGGATGCTGATGGGTGTCACATGGAGGTTATCAGAGGACAAACTGTAGCAGTTGGAACTCAGGTTATCAGACTTGGTGGAAAGTACCACACTCATGGAGCTGTATTGTCAGATTTTATACTGATTTAAAAAAAAAATTAGGCAGGGCATAATGGCTCACACTTTTAATCCCAGCATTTGGGGAAGCTGAGGCAGAAGGATTTCTGTGAGTTTGAGGTCAGCCTGGTCTACATAAGGACCTTATTTCAAAACAACAACGAAAACCAAAACCTCATTAACTCAAAAAATGACAATAAACATTTAAAAGTGACTTTAGATTTAAACAAAGATTGCAAAAATAGCATTAAGTCACAGCTACTTGCTACTGAGCTACCTCAGTAACACTGCTTTGGAGGGTGGAAATACTGAATCAAGATCTTGCTATATATAGTCCAGAATGGCTTTGAACTCACGATTCTTTGTACTCAGCCTCCCAAGTGCTGGGACTACAGGACCATCCCCTACGACTGGCTGAATACTAATATACAACCATAGCATAATTTCCAAGACCAGAAAATTCAGTTGTAAAACAATTAAATAACAATTTTAAACCATATTTCTGAGTTTTTCATTTTTCAAGATTATGTATTGGCTTATTTTTTTTCTCCTCTGTCTCTTCCAATTTTAAGTTTCCCTAATTTTTAGCTGTGACTGGGAGGGAATTATGTATTTTGGGGAATAAATAATCCCACAGGACAGAGAGCTGGAGAGAGCTCAGTAGTTAAAGCAGTTGTGCTCCTTCAGAGGATCTCAGTGAATCCCAAGGCCTGAATCAGATGCTCACAACCATCTGTGGCTTTAGCTCCAGGACCTAACGAACTCTGGCCTTCCTCTAGAACCTGCATACATGTGATGTACATAAACTCACACAAGCACAAATATGTGTACATGCTCACACCTAACTACCATAGAATTATGTTTGCTCTTAATGTATAACATGGCTGAGGCCAAGGTGGGCCATGAGGTACATACATTTTACTACTTGCAATTAAAGGAGCCCATTCACCTGGCTGATAAGGTACGAGAACTGCCTAGCGCCACCTATAGATTAGAAAAGAGCACAGCCCACAGCTGTAACCATGACTATCAGCTTCCTAATCCATAGACAATGATAGGAAAACCAATTAATACACAAAAAGATCAATTGGAAATGGCAACAGCTATGAACACACTTCTTACTGACATATTACAAAGACAACTGTCAGGAATGACTTATTTTTCATTGGTTCTCATTTATACAAAGCACTAGAGTTCTTTTTACTTGACGTTTTGCGATGGGATCTTTATTTTGGGAATTGGTAGTTTTCTAGGGACTGGACGCAGTGTCGCGTGCCTGCTCGTGCTCTGTCGTTTATTTCATATTGCTTGGTCTCCTCTTTTTTTTTTTTAATAAAGATTTATTTATTTATTATGTATACAATAGTCTGTCTGTGTGTATGCCTGCAGGCTAGAAGAGGGCACCAGACCTCATTACAGATGGTTGTGAGCCACCATGTGGTTGCTGGGAATTGAACTCAGGACCTTTGGAAGAGCAGCCAGTGCTCTTAACCTCTAAGCCATCTCTCCAGCCCGGTCTCCTCTTTTTAAATTTGATTTTGGAAAGAAAATATGTACCAAAAATGTTGCTTTTGATACATGAAAGAATGACCATATAAAGTTTCTTAATAAGGGGTCCCAATCAATAACTGTTATCCATATGACACACCACTCTCCAGTCAGAGTGCCTCAAAGATAAGAGTACAGCAATTGGTTCCGAAATGATGGTTAAGATCATCAGCCTACATGTAGGCTGTCTATGTGCAGGCTGGGGATTACTTTCTCACCCTCAAAGTTGTTCTAAGATGAAAAAGGAGGTTAGGCATACACAAAGTGGAATAACAGAATCTCCTATTTACCATCAGAATAGGTGGGATATCCCTAACTCACCAAAGGCTCTATGTTAGCCCTTACAAACAAGAAAACATAGGTAAATAACCTCTTATCCTAATAGAACATAAAAAAATGTTCAATTCTGGAAATAGTCTCTAGTATCCAGGAAATATTAAGCACTCTTGGCTGGACATCGTGGCCCATACCTGTAATCCCTGGACTCAGGAGGCTAAGGCAAGACCATCAAGAGCCTGGGTCAACCTGGACCACCCAGTGTGAAGACTTTTATCTTAAAATCAAGCAGCAACAACAAAAGGAATTCTTAAAACAGTGAGATTAAAATAAAGTTCTGCTTAAATAATTTGAAGACTTTTCACCAAAGAAGATATACAAAGAATCGGCTAACAGCACATAAAAAGCCACAAGTTAGAAATATAACAAGAATCACTAGAAAAACTGGAATAAAGTCTGGGCCCAGGAAAATGTCTGAGTGTTTAAAGCATTTGTGTGTGGTGGCCCACCTATAATCCCAGCCTCAGAAGGCAGAGACCGCAACTGAGGAAAACTTCCAACCGCAGGTCTCCACAGGCACATATGAAGAGGTGTACACACTCATGCAAAAGACCCAAACACACGGCACATAAGTGCAACGGCTCACACCTGTAACTCTAGCTGCTAAGGAGGCTGAGGCAGGCTGAGCACTTGAAGGTCTAATACAAACTAACACAGTCTTAACAATCAAAAGCCCAACTCTTCGAGAGCTGGTGGGAATGTGGGAAACTGGTTCTTACGTGTCACTGTTGGGAATGCAAAATACTGACTTGGAATAGTTTATCTCAGTTTCTTAAAAAGTTAAACATAAGCTAGCTGTTGTGTGGTACATGCCTGTAACACCAGCATTACAAGGCTAAGGCAGAAAGATGAAGAATTCAGAGGCCAGCCTGGGCTAGGGCTACACAGCAACTTGCTGCAAAACTAAATATAAACTTCTGTAGGTCTACAATTATATATTCCTACATAGGCACCTAGGAACAATAAAATTGTATTTACACAAAAAGCCTTGTTCAGAAATATTTTTAGTGACATTACTTACAATATACATCAAATGCAGAGTGGACAAAGAACATGTAATATAGTTACAGAATTAAATATTCTTCAATAGTAAAGAAATATAACTACTAGTACTATTAAAATACAAATATAACTAAAAATGTGCTAAGTTAATGAAGTCAGGCACAACAGATCAAATATTATATGATGTTTATGTCAAACTTCTAGAAAAACAAAATCTAGACTCAGAAAGCATGCTGACAATTGCCTGGGACTAAAGAATACAGAACTTTTGGAAGTAATGAAATGTCCTAAAACTGGATTGGGCTGGTTACTTATGACATAAATCTATTTTAAAAATTAATTATATACTTTGTTTCTGCAACAACGGACATCAAAGAAAATTGACAAATTATTTTCTGACAAATGTACATACCAAATACAAACAGGCAGAAACAGACTAGAAGGAAGAAGAGGTCCTCCCGCCCTGACTACCGCTGAGGCTGGCACTCTATGGAAGGCTCTCAACCCCAGCTTAGACAAGTCTCAGTTGTGCGCTGTAGGCTGTGCAGCAGGGCCCGAGTCTGCCCCTAGAGGCTGGCAGCAGCATGACAACCCAAACGCTTCCTGTCAATTATCCCTGAGTGCCACAACCACCCTTTCTCAAGATTTTCCACCACGTGAGCACTGCAGTAAAGGACTTAACTCTTCCAGACTCAGTTTCCCGGCTACAAATGGGATTACAAGAGGGAAAGTCTATTTATCACCAGCATACCACTAACCCTCCTCTCCCCTCCTAGTCCAGCTCTCTCAGGGCCTTACCCTTTCCACCTCACCCTACAGAGCTCACGTCTACGTGTCTTCACTGTCTGACACCTAGGCTAGAGCATGAAGTTCAAAAGCAGAGACTTCTGCATGTTTGTTTTCTGTATCATCAGCACATAGAGTCCGATCACAACTCTTTGTAAAATGCATGTGAAAACCGAAACCTAGAGACAGTTAAGATTTATTTCTCTAGACTACAGAGAAATCAGTGGGCAGTACTGAAAGGTCACATGACAATTATGTTGAAAAGTATCCGGAAATCCACGCCAACTCCTATTCTGAGGTACATTAATGCTACGGTCTGACTGCATTCCCTTCAGTTCATTTGCTGAAACCTAATTCCCAATGCAGTGATAGCAGCAGCAGAGCCGGGAGGAAGCGAGGAGGGTATGTTCTGATGGACGCAATGACTGTCTCTACAGAAGAGGCCCACGAAAACTTGTTTGCTCCTTGATCTACACAAGGACTCAGCGAGTAGGTACCAACTATGAATCAGGGAGTGTGCGCCCTCATTCCATACCAGTGCTTCTGGTGCCCTAATCTTGGACTTCTCTCACTGCACTTCTGTTGTTTACAAGTCACCAAGTTTATGGCACTTTTGTTATGACAGCCTGAACAGATTTAAGAAACTGGCAAGGAAGGTGGAGCATATTTATGCAAAAGCCTTGAGCGGATACTGTGCTACATTAGTAGAAAATGTCTGACCTCCCTAAAACCCAAACAGTCCTTAGAAGTATTATCACTGTAACTCCAATTAACAGACAAGAAAAGCTAGGCAAAGGGAACGCCAGTGCCGGGTCTTACAGCTACAAACTGAGGATGTCCAGATCTGAACTTCCAGAGTGGCAGTTCATCACTTGTTCTGAGCTAGCCCTGCTAATGTCACTAACACTGCACAAACACACAGCCCACAGATGACAATAATGGAGCGGAGATACAGAAAGTACAGGATTAAACGTAGGCAAAGAAACCAGTGAGGAGGGTTGGAGCGGTGGCTCCGGCAGTGAGGACCTGAACTCAATCCCAACACACACAAGTCAGACTCGAGTGGGACTTGTACTGCCAGGCTTGCTGTCTGGGCAATCTAGCCTAACTGGAAAGCCCTAACCACCGTAGAAAGAAAAGCAGAAGTGGCCCCTGAACCACTAACCTGGAGGCTGACTTCTCATCAGTCCCTATACACACAGATATGCATGCACACAAGAAATCAGTGAGGAACTGAGGGAGATAAGAAAAGGAGGAAATGATCTGAAAGAGGGTTATCATGAAGGGAAAAAATTTCAAAAAACAGACTGGCCAATGGCACACACACTTAATAGGACAGAAAATGACTGAAAAAGATCACCGGCCTACTCACTGGGTCACTGGAACACCAGGTAACTCAGAGAGACGCTCTAGTAATGACACTTCAGGAAACTACGCTACGGGATGTACACCGTGGCGTCTTTAAGAAAAAGCAGGTCCAAGGCAAAATTTTTCTTTATAAAATGTGGACTCTTAGTTAAGCATGTGTTTAAAGGAACTTATCTAGAAAACAGTATTATCTTAGCGTGTAATCATAATGAGAATATAATGTTTTCAACTTTAAATATGCTTAGACACCTAGACTGCTGAGGACAGCAGACACAGGTTTCTGAGGTATCTTGTGGCCCACTTTTTCATCCACAGCTAATCAATTAAGGATCTTCTCTGATTAAGTAACAAACAAATCAGTGTTTTAGCATTTTAAGAAACTATCCCAATTGTCTACATTACTTAAAAACAAAAACAAAGACAACCCTGCTACAAGAAGAAGGGCTTCTAAGAAGCAGTTACAAATTATTCTGTAGTGTTCCTCCAAGGGACTGACACTACCTCCTTAGCTGCTCAGTCCAGAGCTAGGGGTCACAAGAGCTACACAGCATTCTATGGACTCTAACAAGGGCAGTTCAAACTTACATGGCAGTATGTCCTTATATCTGTTCTTTTTAACATTCTCTTCTTTTTCTCCAGTGGCTGTGGGGTAAATCTTTTCTGTTCTATATTTGGTAGACAATCTTCTTAATCGCTTAAAATACAAGAAAATAAAATTCAAGTTTAGAGAAACATTGATATTTTCAAAATGTTAAAGATTTACAAAGAGCTCTTCAATGAATTCTGTTGACCCAATTCCTCACAACTAATTCTCCTATTCCTCTAAGCTGTTAATTTCACTATCCCTTAAAAATTAACCCTAAGAATACTTTCTTTTTAGATTGTAAGATTGTTTATTCCAAATGAACAGCCAAGGGAACTAGAAGTAAGTCTACTTACAGATGTCAGTAAGCTGAGAGTGTCTGTGATTGATAAAGGGTCTCAGTAACCCAGGAGCACCCACGAGGAACCAGGCTCTTTCCAAGGCATACACTAATAATTACTTGTAAAACACTGCAAAACAAAGTTCTTTCCTACTGGATTGGCAATGCTCAACAAAGACTAATTCTGCTCATTCACTGCACCACAGAAGTGGCTTGTGGGCTGGTGACAAATTCTTACCACATATGGCAGTGGGGATGTTCTTTGGGCTGGAATATTTCTGTTTGTCAGTAATACACTTCCTGCTTTCATAAGAACTGAAAGTTGGCATTGTGAATTGTTTAGATTCTACGCAACTACACTTCTAAAAATTAATTTCAAAGGAGATTACTCCCTTGATGGATTAAAGACATATTGAAAGCACTTTGATTTTCGGATTCAATTTATTAAATACAAATGAAATGAAAAAAATCTAGTAGCAACTGAATTTTTTTTACCAGTTTATTTTTGTAACCCATGATACTGAAACTCAAGCAATTAAGAATTTTCATGACTGTATTTGAAGAAAAAAAAATCACAGAATTTTAACACAAGAATCTTGTCATTGTTATGGTATTACTTTAAATAATTTTACACATGAGCACTTACACAGGAAATGGTTATTTCTGTTTTACTCAGAAAAAAAAGACTAAATTTTAGAGACCGAACACAGGAATACACATTTTTTTTTCTTTTAAAAAAAAATCATGTTATAAACTGGCACAAAGCCTAAGTAAAATTTCACAGGTCTATAGTGACTTAAAAAAAAAATCTCAAACTATATAGATGTGTAAACAACCCAGTTTTCCCTATGCCTGCAACCCCAGCACTCATGGGAACAGGTCACCGGGCTACACCAGAGCCAGACTTCAGTACGATGTGTGTCCAAACAAGGTATTAATTACAATTACAAATCTACCTATCTTACATTTCTACACATGTGCCTCAAGATAAAACTGGTGCAATATGGAATAATGTATGCACAAAGCTCTTTACTGCAGTATGTTCATAATAGCAAAAGTTCACAAACAATAAAAAACAGCCTATTAATAGGACTGGATAGATTTGTTTCATACAATCAAGTATGATATGACTAAAAAGCAAGTAAGAAAGCTCAGTCTTGAATACAGTGATATGGCACCACATCAAAAATTCTCCCTCAATGTAACAAGAAAACACAGGACTGCTGTGCCATCGGCACTAGAGGAACCTAAACCACGGCTGCTGCACACGTGCACAAAACAGCTCTCCGAGGATCCAGCACCACAGCCTACAGCTGGGGAGGGAAATGAGAGCCGAGCGTGGACAGGAAGTAGAGTACCACGTCTTTCCACACTTTCGTGCTGTATGAACATACTGCCTGCCTGGAAAATTAAATGCAAAAGTAAAGCAACAGAAAAGGCAAAAAGATTGCTCATAGATTTCATTATTCCCTGTTAATAATATCTTGCACATCTATTTTCTCTGCTCAAAGATCTGACACCAGAAAAGATGTATTTTAAGATATTTACAGTATCTTAATATAAGGTTTTTGATGAAAATTAAACTTAAAGGATGTCGGTTTAAACAGCCAAAGAGGCGTTGGCAGAAAAGAAAAGCACTTGACATCACTATTACTGACCCAAGAGCTAACGACAGAGGGAGGAACAGGGCCGGGCTGGATGACACGCTGCTGTCACACTGCTGGAACACCTACCCACGCCAGGCACTTCCTTGTGTGACAATTACTGAGAAATACATTTACAATGCTTTATGTGGAAGCTGATAATTATTACAGAATGTCTTTGTATCATAAACAAATATTCAAGTTTGAGTTTTTATTTACCTAATAGTCTGAAAGCCTGACATATCATGGATGTTTTATATGCTCAACTTTATGTGCATTGATTTTTTTTTTTTTTTTTTGCCTGCATGTATGGCTGTGTGAGTGTGACAGATCCTCTGGAACTGGAGTTACAGACAGTTGTGAACTGCCATGTGGGTGCTGGGAATTGAACCCAGGTCCTCTGCAAGAGCAACCAGTGTTCTTAATCACTGAGCCATCTCTCCAGCCCCTATGCTCAACTTTAAAATGAAGAATGAAAATAAAATAAAAAACATAGAATCCACATAAATGGTATATCCAGTGATATCTGATCACTGCATGTTTTATATGTGTATGGACACAGATTATATACATAACATATGTATTAAAATATTTAATAACATAATATTAAAAAGATATTTTTAATACATATGTTATGTATATAACACGATTCAGATATGATTATTATGGTAAATTAAGTCACATATAAAATTAAATATATTTTAAAAATCATCATACACATTAGAGATATACAACAGAAAAATAGAATAAAACTTTGCTTTGCACTTTGAAAAAGATCAACATTGAGAAAACTCTACTAAGCTGCATTAAAAAGACATTTAAGTAGAGACTTTATTCCTATCAAAAATATAGTCAGCCTTACAATTAGTTGCATTAATTAAAATTTTGGTTTTGATAATATATATCAATCCATTTAATCCACCGTTACAATCTTTATAAAAAAAGATAAGGCCTCCAGGCTCAGCAGAGTCTGGCATATAAATGGATCAATAATCACTAATTACTATTAGCCAATTTAAAAATTCTTTAAATATTACTTGTACTTCAGATTTGTTTCTTTGAAACCTTTCCTAGACAGAGTTCCAAAAAGAAATATATTGTGGGTCACTCTGTCTGCATGGAGCTGTTGTTCAGTGTTAAGCAGTTTGTCTACCTAACCTGAGCTGGCTTTAGAATCTCTTGGGAGGTCAGACTGCCGAGGTCCCCAGTCGTTCAATAGGTCAACGAACACTTTCATTCTTAGTCAGTTACAGGTGCTGCTGCGGTACGTCTGACCAAGTCTGTGAAGGAGTACTGACTAATTCGCTTGGTAAAACAGAAGTTTTTTCAATTATTAGGTTTCTTTGTATTTTATATTTAAGTCTGTAGTATCAAAGAATTCCAAGATGCATAGGGCCTTTTTATGGTAAATCGGGGAAGGAATTAGTAAGGGAGGGAAGAGGCAGGTAATCAGCCTGGGGAGGAAGAAGGGCACCATAGCCGAGTAACAAAGGACGGCGGTGCTCAGGCTGTCACAAGGAGCAGGAGGAGGAGGACCGTGGACTGAATGTCAGGACCGATTAACAAAGGATATAGGAAGTAAAGGAGAATCTCAGGACCTTTTACGTAAACACTCCAGCAGTCCTCTCTGCTTCATGAATTCCATCTGTCTTAGCTCTCCGTACACCAGAACAGAAACACCCAGAAACGTTTTTCTGAGACTACGCTGTAACATACTCCATCATCCACTCCTCCCAACCTGCTTCCTCATCTCTAACTCGGCGCTTCTACGCACCGCTAATCAAGGACACATCTCAATACACAAACACATCATCCTGGGCACAACTAGAACTTCCTGAAGATACAGCCAGAACCTCACATTGTCTTAACAGCAGCTCCTATCACCAAATCCATGACGGACACTCCCCCCACCTCTCAAGTGCTGGAACCTCAGGTATACACTACCACTCCTAGCTAGAAATACAAACTTTTAACCTAAGTTTATTCCTTACTCAACATCAAGATATTTTACGGAAATAAAAGCAGAGTATCATTTAAATCAGGGGGAAATAAAATTATTCCATACTGGACCAGTGAGATGGCTCAGCAGATAAAGATGCTTGCCCTGCAAGTCTGATGAACGGATACTGATCCCCAGGACTCACAGGGTAGAAGAACTAAGTCCTGAAGGCTGTCGGCTGAGCTCCACGGGAACACTGTGGTCAGACACCCCAAATAATAAATGTGATAAAATTTTGTTATACATGGCCGGGTGTGGTGGCAAAAGCCTTTAATCCCAGCACATGAGAGGCCTCTGTGAGTCCGAGGCCAGCCTGGTCTACAAAGTGAGTGCCAGGATAGTCAGGGCTACACAGAGAAATCCTATCCTGGGGGAAAAAAACTGTCATATGCATTAGTTTTACTAAACTAAGTTACCTAAGAAAAGAAAATTTATTTTGCACAATAAACTGGACAGAAGTAGGTGTGTTTGCACACATGTTCCGATTCACAGGGCAGGCTCACTCCTACTATCAACACCTTCTTTTTCTCTATCTAACGCCTCTCCGCCCACTAAACTCATGAGCCAATGTCTAATGACTTATATTTCTGGTTGTGAGCCTAGCCTTTAACAGCTGAGCCATCTCTCCAGCCTGTCTACTGATTCTTAATCCAATTCCAAGGATTTTTTTCCCCTCCCGGTCCCCACAGTAAACAGCTCGGAAATTACAAACTCCAGGCATTAAATCTATGGCTACTGATCCGAGTGTAGTGGGGCATAACTAAAACACCCCCAGGCCTGGGACATGAAGGACACAAAATTCAAGGCAATGCTAAAATTGTACACATCTTTAATCCCAGCACTCAGCAGAGGCAGAAACAGGCAGACCTCTGAGAGTTCCAGAAAGGCCAGGACTACACACTGGGACCCTGTCTCAAAATAATAATGATAATAACAATAAAGAAGTAAAGGATTCAAGGCAAAGCTTTGGCTACACAATGAGTTTGACATCACCCAGGGTTGAGACCCTGTCTCCAGTAACACACAAAAAATATTATCTTCCTTCAAATTATGATGTATCTTACCTTTAAGAAAACAGCCAACAATTTTCATAGGGGACTAAAGCAACCCATCATTAATAAAATTAAGA